AAAAAAAAAAAAATCTCCAACATTTCCTTTTTTATAACGTACAAAAAAAAATTAAGTTTTATTTTTTGCAAAGCCGTCCCATTTTCATGATTTTGTCTCATGCAGCCTCACCTAGGCCATAGCTTGCTGTAAAACATTTGTTTATGTTAGGGCAATGTTGGGATGGAGTTGAGCTTGTTATGTTGTGTTTGTTTTTTGTTTTAATCTGGTGCACTTGAGGCCTTGTTCACACCAAATGCAGAGCAGATTCGGTCAGGTTTCTGCACACGCACGCTAGTCTTTTAGTCGTGTTTTTGATGCGTTCCGGGCTTTTTTTTTTTAAGTTTAAAATGGGCTTTTAGTGTGTTCCAGGCATTAGCATGCGTTTTGATGCAGTTTTTTCACCTGCTCTGGATCTGCTCTGCAACTGCACGCTGCGATGTGAACTGGAGCAAAAAATACCTTTTGGAATACATTGGACGCAGTTTTGATCCGGTCTGCACCTGCTCTGCTCTGGATCTGCTCCGCGCTTGGTGTGAACAAGCCCTTAGCGTCTTTGTGGAGTTCTTTAAATACACACTGTCAGCACTGAACTATGTTGTAATGTTAATTTTATGTTTCTTTCTGCCTTCCAGGAGCTCAGTGTTGGTTTATTTAACCATCTGTTACAACCAAAGGGGAGCTCAGAGGCTCTTCAAGATGTCCACTTCTTGTGCTGTGACATTGACCCTGATTTGATCAGCAGAGCTAAGACTGGAAACCCCTTCCCCGATTCCCTCACGTTCTCTTCTCTAGATATCATGGACCCCTCTTCACTGGACATCTTACAGAACTTCTTGAACAAGTTTGGCCAAGCCAGGTTTGACATTGGATTTTGTATGTCAATAACCATGTGGATCCATCTAAATCACGGTGACCAGGGGCTGGTGCAATTCCTCAAGAAGCTAACGACGCTGTGTGACTATTTGCTTGTAGAGCCTCAGCCATGGAAGTGTTACAGGTCAGCAGCCCGACGTCTGCGGAAGCTGGGGAGACAAGACTTTGATCACTTCCACACACTGGCCATCCGTGGTGACATGACAGAACAAATCATTAACATTTTGGCCAGGCACTGCAGTAGTGAGCTTGTTCATCGTTTTGGTAACACAAGTTGGGATCGAAGTCTGTTACTGTTTAAAAACAGATCAACAAAATGACCTGGCTAGGTTTCTATGAACTTCTTCTTTTTCTTTTGTTAGCTTTTTATAGAAAGGGATTTTGCAAAAACAGATCTTATAATGAAATAAACATAACAACTATATATTGCACTGACTGTAAATAAACTTCAGAACTGTATATTGTAAGTTATCCCATACTACACAATTCATGTTCTTAGGATAGGGATGTTCAGATACCAAGCACCATACTCGGTACAAGTACAGATACTTTTCCAGCACCAAGACTAGACTAGAGAAGAATTCAAAAGTTTAGCGGCAGCTGTCATTTGTAAGGAGCACACGGAGATCCTGGGATTTGTACATCTCTGTTTTTATGGTATGATTTTGTTTTTATAAATACATATAAGTGATGCACTGATACCATTATTTCCAAGTCCTCACAGATATGAGTACTGATACGTTTTTGTTTATTGTCATGTGACAGTTTTCCAAAAACAATACAGACGAATGATTTCAGGACAGTGGTGGAGCACCAGAGCCAGGTCACAGCTGCAACCCTAGTAGTTCTCGTGAACATGCAAAGTATCGGCACTGGTATCTGAATATCCCTACTTTAGTACATTTGTCTTTTTTTTTTCCCTTCACCCTCAGATCTTACCAAACCAAAGCATATACCTGTTAAGAACAATAGCAGGAACCTATCCTCGCGTCCTGTCTGTCCAGTACACCTTCTGGCTGAAATCTTAAGGAATCCTACTCTCTCTATTGGCACATGCATGCCGTGGCCTCCATTTACGTCAATGGGACACCCAGCTGTCAGTCTGCAGATGGACTTTCCGGTGAAGTGAATAGAGCTTGTACTATACGGTAGCCAGAGGCTGTGTGGTTTTGGACTGCAATTTAAAACAGGATTAGTGCTCTAAAAGAGCACTTATTCTTCAGAGGAAAAATCTATGTAAAATAGAGGTTTAATTTTCAGCTAGATTCAAGTAAATTAATATCTTGCTTTCATGCAGGTCAGGGGCAGGTAAACTCCAGCTGTGGTGTGGTGCAACTACAAATCCCATTCAGCATTAGAAGACACTGACAGCTGCAGGCTGTGTGTTGTTTTACCACATAATGCAACAATCTAAATAGGCTCTAATGCAGGCTTGTAACATCTATTTTTAATTCTTTTTAGCACGCTCTTACCCTCAATAATATGGACATAAGCGCACCTTGATGTGCATTTATTATAACACATGTTAATGTACATCCTTTTGTGAAATGATGCATTAGAATTACATAAGAAATCTCTATCTGTAGTGTGAAGTGAAAGCAATTATAGTGACCTAATTCTCTTTGCTAACATTCTACAGGCCTCCTATATGTAGGGTACAGCAGGAAATATCGTGTAATTTTTTTTTTCTTTACTGCATGGAAAGGCTACATATACATGAATTTACTTTGTCAGCTCCTTTATCTGCATTGAAACCGTCTGTTTATACCTGGTGATAGAGCATCAATGTGTCTTAGCCCTTGTGCACACCATATCTGTTCAGCTGTATTTGTCTGCACACCACCGCACATATATGATGTTAACAAGGCACATAGAAAACAATTGTTCTCTATGTTCCCTGTTTACATCATACATGTGCGGTGGGGTGCTGAAAAGCACAGCTCAATGGACACGGTATGAACAATACTGATAAAAGTGCAATACTGTATCGCACCAGTAGGTGGAGCTGCTGCCTACAGCATAAATCACAGG